GGGGGGGGCAAAGTTAACTGCGCCGATATTATGATTGCAGAGCCGCGCGTGAAGATGGACATGTATAGAGAGCACTGAGTACAGCGGGGAACTAAACAAAGTGAGAAAGACGGAGGAGGAGGAGGAGGAGGAGGAGGGTGATAGAGGGCAACAGCAGCGAAAAAGAGGAAGGAGAAGGGGGGGAGGAAAAAAAAAAAAAAAAAGAGAAGAGGAAGACTGGAGACAGAGGACGAAGTGGAGTGAAGACTAGGAGCAAGAAAGCCAAGTACAGAAAGAGTGAAGAAAACACGAAGCGATCAAAAAAAACAAAAAAGAGAGTGCAGAAAACACGAAGGGATCAAGCGTGACCTAAGAGACGAAATAAGAGAGGAGAGGAGAAAGACAGAGCTAATTGCAAGTAAAGAGGAGAGGAACGAAACCGAGCACAGGAAGAAAGAAGGAACGAAGGAAAAGAAAGAGAAGAAGGAGAGCGAGGATGGAGAAAGGGTGAACACAGAGCAAGAGAAAAGATGACTATGAAGTCGACCACGCAGATATGGACGGGACCGACAGTAGCGAAGAAGAAGAGGAAGAAGAAGAAGAAGAGGAAGAAGAAGAAGAAGAAAGAAGAAGAAAAGGATGATGAAGAAGAAGGTATGGAGGGGGAGGGAGAGAAGAGAGGACGAGGAGGAGGATAGGAGGAGAGGGAAGACGAGGAGGAACGGTAGGATAAGTTAGTAGTCGTAGAGAGACGTCAAGAGAGGCAGGGCAATTGCGCAATTGCAAACGTCTAACAACAAGGCCAGGACACGAAGAAGGACCGCAAGGAGGAGAAGAAAGAAGAAGATGCGCAAGGAGGGGAGGAGGGGGAGGAGGGGGAGGAGACGCCAAAGTACAGTAGGAGAAGAGAGACGACAACAAAGGGAAGGGCAACTACAGTACCGTAGATATCGACGGGCGATGGAAGGACATGAAAGACGGCCCAAAAAGGCTGAGCTGGAGGCAAGAGGAGCAGAAATGACGTACCTGGATTACTGATGGCTAATCAGCCAAACGGAACGGAACGGAACGGAACGGGAGCAAACGGCATTTTTTTATTTCTTTTTTTTTTCTTTCCGAAAGGGCGACGGCTTCCCGAAAAAAAAAAAAAACAATATCATTGAGCTGACCAGCCCAAGCAATTCATTAGTCAGTAGTTGGTTCTACTCAAGTTCCATCACGATTTGGATTCGAACACAAGTCTATATTTCAACGGTTCATGGGTGTACCCACTGAGTTAGGCCCCACTGATTAATCCATCACGATTAGGCTCTTGCGTGCAAACGGAATTCCAGAATCCGAGATCGAAGCAGTGGGTCGCGGAAGCGACAGGCGTGTCCATCGAGAAAGCAAGCAGAGTACGGGTACAACTTCCTCCGCGTAATCCGCCGGCCTAACTCAGTTGGTAAGGCTCGCAAGTGGCATTCAGGAGGTCGTGGGTTCAATTCCCATTGGCCTCATGTTACCTTCCTGGGCATGCTTGGCGCTCGCCATCTAGAGATAGACCACTGGATCCTCGATCGGCATTGAGCAGAGTCTGCTGATGTTCCTAGGGGAGGGGACCTGAGGGGAGGCATGGTCCTGTTGGCATGGTCCCTGATGCTACCCGCTAGCGGTATCGCCCACCTGCAGGTCGGGAGCAGCCCCCGCATGCTCTCTTGTAAACTACCGGGTTCCCCGTATGCCTATAATTTTTTATTTTTTTATTTTATTTTATTTCTTTTATACCACTAGTATCTTTCCCGCATGGGAAAATAGGGAAAACTGGCTGTTTTCCCAATCGCCTGAATTTTCAGAGGTCGGGCCCGGCGACGACTGCCATTGATAAATCTGATCGGCGGCCGTCATTTCGTTTCGGCCTCCGAAAAGGTCGGATGCCTACCCGAGGCCCGCTATTTTCCAATCGGCAAAGGTACTAGTGGTATAAAAGCACAATTCATTTCAAAGAGATCAGAAATGAGGCCGGGGACCTCACAATTCAACCCGGGGTATCTGACAGCATCAGCCAGCTTAGCTTACAGGCAGTAGCCTGCGGAACTCATCACTACCGAGCTCCCAAGTTTGAACTAAATATTGTCGAGATCATTAGATAACAATTCAGACGAATTTTTGGATTCAAGAGGTAGCCTTCTAGTTCTCTGTTACTTGGCACTGTTGATACACTCCTGACACCTAACTGCTCTACTCTTTAACAATCTCCACAAACTACTACCGCTACTGCTAATGCTGGGACTAAAACGGCCCAGCGGACCCGGTCCCTTGATCTGGGTCCAAGCAACCCGACACTCTCCTAACTGGCCCACTATGGCCCTGATAACCGAGTGCCCTGGTTCACCGGACACTCTAACTAACTAACTCTGCTCTGTGGGACCGAGTGCCCTGGTCCTCCCAGAGAGGTGGCCTTCACCACTTCCTGCCTGATCCAGTCCACAGATCGTCCCTGCTCCCTGTCTCCCTTGCGTCTCCTACTTCATTATCCAGTCTGCTATTTTCAAACCTTTCCCTGGATGCAACACCGCCAGCCGCTCATGGCGAGCCCATGTGCGTTGGAACCAAGTTCTCTGTTTCCTGCTGCCCCTCCCCGCCTTGGCCTTTCTCCTCCAATCTACTCTGATGGCCTGTTTGATACCCATCTTGATTCTTCCTTTAATTTCGACATCCGACAACGGGCGCTTTTCGAACCTCGCCCTGTTCCTGTCTGCCCAGATAACCTCACAGATAATGCCCCTTGTCACATGGGCTACATATCCCCATCCTGTCTTCCCATTCAGCCCTGTAGGGAGGAAGCCTAGCAGAGCCCATTTTTCGTCCCAGTTGAGATACCCTTCTCCCATTTCCTTCCAGTGCAGTTCCCACCACTTCCAGACCCGCTTTGATGCTGGACATTCCCACCACAGGTGCTTGGTGGGTTCAAAAGGCCAGCGGCATCTGGTGCAACCCAATTCCACCACTACTCCCCGACTCAGCAACCAGACTGCAGATGGAGTGACCAGCAGGGACAGTAACCAGAGAATGCTTACCTGTTTGCCATAGGGCATTACGCACAGGATTCTCCATAGATTGTTGAAATTATCCTCCGACTGCTTCGGATCTGTGCCCAGTACCTTTTCCCACCTGGAGACAGCAACTGAAGTTGGTGTTCTGGTTGCCTTGGAGGCAAGATTATAGCCATCTCTCACGTTGTATTCCATCAGGGGCAACAGAGGGGTCGATCGATTACCTGTGTTCGGTCTGTTCCAGCTCCAGGCGAGCGGGTCAATCCGCAGTTGCCTGAGGGTACACCTGCCTATCCAGAAGAGGTCCTTCTGTGCGTTCTTTCTTACTTGACTCTCTATTACTCGAATCTGCAGCGGGTTACTCCACTTCTGAACTGTGTCTTCCCCCAGGAGAGTCAGTCTGTTTCCCTGCTTTCACCCTTGCCATTTTTCCACTCTTCTGAAGCCACTTGGCGTAATCTCTGTCACTTTCCATACTACATTGTCTTCTTCCTGGTCCTCCGCAGCGTACCGAGTGCCTGTTGGGTCCACCTTTTCTGGGCCTAGGATGTCCATCCAGTCTTGGGGGATGGCCTCACGCAGCATGTTCCAGTTGTCTTCCACCGCCTAAGACCGTTCAGGAGAGTCATAAGCTCCGTTAGATATACCCATTGTCCCAGCATTGGAGACCAAATGTCCCGAATTCTGGAAACGCCCCTCTTCATCCAGGCGAGGCCAAAGGAGCCTGTCGAGCCATCTGCATAGAAAACAGTCCCCCCCTTAGCACAAATGTGGGGGTTTTCAAAGAGGTGTTGGGCCATCACCTCTTCCTTGGTCTGCGGCAGTGTTGGGATATCGGGCGGGAGGTTCTTCCAGGCTCTCAGTATCGCCTTCCAGAACAGCGACTTTGAGCGTTTCCTTCTGAAGGAGTCCATGAAAAAACCCACCCAGACATCCTCCGGCCCGCTGAGGTTCCATTCCCTCATCAACAGTCTCTCTGCAAGAAGTACCCAGTCCTCCTTGATTTCTGCTACAACATCCTTGCACACCCATGATCTGAGTTGCGCTTGCCAGTGGTTCTTCCGCGCCGGATCCCATATACCTAGTCCTCCTTGTGCCCGTGGGAAGGTTAGGAGCTCCCACGCCACCTTTGCTATGAAGCCTTCTTCCTTCTTTGCATGCGGTTTCCAGAGGAAGCGGGCAATCAGTCTTTGAATGGTCTTGAGAACACCAACCGCTATTTCTTTAATCGTACAAATGAACCAGAGGATTGAAAACAACGCTACATTTGCCACTAGCGCACGCCCTATCAACAACAGATGCCATGCAGACCCCCACATGGACAGTCTAGCTGTTATCCAACTTTGGAGTAGAAGGTCTTGTGAGGAACATCCTACCTGCAGACTTATCAACACACCGAGAAATCTTTCTTCTTCCCCCTCTTCTATTCTCTTCATTCCCCACTCTATGCTCAGCTTGAACTGGGCTGGCAAAAGGCATGAGGACTTGGCCCAATTGATGGACGCTTCCGATAGGGCGGAATACTCCTGCATGACACTTTTTAAGGATGTCATTGCTGGCACAGTATTCTCACAGACTGCAAACAGGTCATCTGTTAGCGCCTTGACTCTACATTCCACTGTATCGTTCAGCGTGAGCCCCTTGATCAGCCGATGTTTTCTGATACGGTTTAGGAGAACCTCCATTTGGAGTACGAACAGCAAGGGGGCGAGGGGGCAGCCCTGCCGCAACGATCTTGTGAGATTGAATGGTTGAGACAGATGCCCGTTCACCATAACCACTGAGGTGGAGAAAGTGTACAGTGCTACCACCCACTTGCAAAACCCCTCCCCGAAACCCATATGTCTTAGAGTGGTCATGACGAAAGTTCACCCTACTTTGTCATAGGCCTTTTCTAGGTTTAGTAGTAGTACTGCTGTGTCAAGATTCTCTGCTTGTATTACCTCTAGGACCTCGATTGTTATCGCAATGTTGTTGAAGATGGATCTCCCTTGTACGAAGGCGCCCTGGTCTTTCTCTACCAACTCAGGAAGGTATCTCCTCAACCTTCTTGCTAGCGTCTTGGCCAATATTTTATAGGAAACGTTTAGCAAGGAGATCGGGCGCCAGTTACGCACATCCGCCTTGTCACCCTTTTTGAAAAACACTGAGATCACGCCGTGTGTCATCCTCTTGCCTAGGTCCCCCCCAACAGCACCCCGTTGAATAGCTCCACGAGAGAAGGGTCCACCGTCTCCCAGCATTTAGCATAGAACTCCACTGTTAGACCATCTATCCCTGGGGATTTCCCTCTCGCCATGGACTTCAGCGTTTGCGTTGTTTCCTCCATGGTGAGTGGTCTGTCCAAGTCTAGTCTCGTTGTTGCAGCTACCCTCACTTGGGTGTCTTCCCAGAAGTTTGAGACTTTCGTGAGATCGGTGTCCACCCATCCTGAGGTCTGCACGTCGTGAGTATGTCCTCGTAGTACTTCTTGGCGTAGTCCAGCATCCCGGACGTTGTGGAGGCTGCTGGAGCTGTTTCGTCGAACGGGTGCTTCAACTCCACCATCTGCTGCATCGACCTTCTAGGGAGCAGTTTATGAAAAGTCTCCTTGTTCATCTTATCACTTGTCTCTATGCCCTTCTCCTTCAACAGCTCCGTCCATCTTCTTTCCTTTTCTGTTTGCAGGTTTTTCCACTCCTCTAGCCTCCTTTCTCTTTCTGCAGCCCAGCCCAGCGCTGAGATTGGGTGGTCTTCCATTCTCTCTTCCGCTTCCTCCACCCTCCGTTTACACTCCGCTTCTTTCTGGTTTCTGGACTTTGCGAGGATCCTGGAACTGATGTTGAGAATCCCTGAGATGATAGCCATCCAACCATCTTCCCCGTCTTCTGGCGTTTTGAACAAATGTTTGGCCTCCTCCCAACTGCTCATGTGCTGGCACACCCAGTCCCTGAGGCCAAGGTCCTCCAAGGTCAGAGTGCTCAGTCGGAAGAAACCTCTACCTCGTTCGTTGCTTGAGCGCAGTTTGATGTTTGCTATCACCGGTTTGTGGTCCGACAGCGGGTTGCAGATCTGTTGTACCATTGTGAATCCCTCCGTGATTGAGTTGGCAGTCAGAAAATAATCCAGTTTTCTTCTGGTTACCACCCCCCTTTGACGTTGTAAGTGAGATTGCCAGGTATACCCTGGGTCATCAGGGGATAATATTCTGAAAGGGTCAGCGAGGTTCAGGTCTTCAGCCAGCTCCAGCAGGGCATGTACATCCTT